CATGAATTTCTTCACGTTCTTCTAACTTTATTTGTTTAGCTGCCTCTTCTTCTTTCTTCTTTTTCAGCTCCAGGTCCTGATATGGTGACTTTGGTTAAGAAAACCATTGAATAACTGAAAATCACAGAAAAACATTGTTAAGGGACCGACTCAAAGAACCAAAGGAAAACTTAAGTATCCAAATTCCCATGGATAACATTGTTATCTTTCTTTGCCAAATATTTAAAAAAGTATATGGTATATATATATACAGTTATTTTCATGCAGTTTTATACAGAAACAGATTCCTCATGACCACTTTACAAACAATAGATTACTTAACGAGAAGCCAGGACGATAACCTCCATATTCTCCCATTCATTTACTAGGTGTAGCAAATGCTGTTCACAGATGTGGTTGTTACATTTTCTGACCCCAAATCATCCTTGAAAACACTAGGTACTGTAACTTTAATTTCTTGGACAATTACTAGTTATCATAAGTCATAATTTATCAGTCTTAAAAGGTTAAACTCCTCATTAAAGTTTATGTAGACAAACATGAACATATAGACTACTCATCTTGATCTAGGAGACAAAATGATGATGCAGTCATTTCATCTCTTACATTGATATCTACTTAAAACAAAAAAAAATGATATGACCTATTTCTAGGTTGGTTAACATCTATAAGTTCGAATGTTCAAAATTTTCAAGTAATATTTCATTTAATCTTCTAACTTCTTCCTTCTTCTCTAATTATTGAACACGCTTTAACTTTATCCTTTCTCAACAGATGATATATATTTTTTCTGTTAAAAGAAAGAGTTCTATGCTTGCCATTTAATACAGAAAGAGGTTCCTCATGACCATTCTGCAAACGATAGAGTATCTAGAAGCCAGAGGATGATACTTGATTATTAAAGGTTAGTTCTAATAACCTTTCGAGTATTTTCAATAGAAGTTAAAAACAATACGCAATGAACTGATACAAGTGTATAAGATCGACAAAAATATAAAGCAACAAATAAGGCTTTCCAGCTTACCACATTCTCAAATTTATTCACCAGGTGTGTCAAATGTTGATCCCATTGAAATTGTTACAATTACTGACCAAACAGTATGGAAACCACAAGTTTAATTTTGAGACGACTACTAGTTATCATAATTCATAATCTAACACCGAGTCTCAAAAGGTTGAACTTCTAAAATAAAGTATATGATGCCAAACATGAAAATATAGGCTACTAATCTTGATTTAAGAGACAGGATGATGATGCAGTCATTTCAACTCTTACATTCATATCTAATTAAAGAATTACTAATCATGAAAACTTAAAGGATTGTTTCAAAGCCATATTTTGAAAACCATCATCTATCTTTAAAAATGAATAATAATTTTCTGAGTAGGAGAACTTATTCGGTAAGATGGATTTTCAACAGTTAAATAAAACAGAGAATAGAACCATTTTTTTCTAACTTCATGTGTTTCTTTACTGTTTTTGTAAGTTACAATTTATATATGAACTTTACCATGCTACTCGTGTAAACTTATATAAATATATTCCATTTTCACATTCATATAGATAAAAGATAAATAATAAAAAAGATCCAACAGTTTTTTTTCTTAATTCAGAAACAACTGGGGAAAGAAAAAAAAGACAGTCTTTTTCTTTACGGCGGGAAGTTAGAAAATGAGTTTTGGGAACAAATTTCAGAAGAATGTACCTAAAACAGTCTCTTAAACTGAAATTATGGTAATTTAGCGATAAAATCTATGGTAATCTAAATTATACAAAATCAAATATTTCTACAACACGCTAATACTTGACACAATGACCTCTTGAAACTTCACGTTGCATAAAGGTACACAGTTTTTTCTGCAGGGCTGGATGAGGGGGATCAAAGAGGCTGACTAAGCTACGTGTTTAATTGACTGATTACTTTTCTATGAAAACCAAACTTCCCTTGAGAAGTAGAAAATGAAGGAATGTGAACAGCCAAGAAGGCAAGCCAACTGCCCAATAAAACGAACCTAAACAAAAACTGGTACAACAGGTAGGAAAATGGGTTCCAACTATTAAGACTCCGGAACTATTATAACAACGACAATAATTATGATCCTCAATGTAATGTTTTGCATCAATAACTACATATATTTGTGTGTGTGTGTGTGTGTGTGTGTGTGTGTGTGTGAGCACCAAGTTAACAACTGTGAACTACATATTGTGCAGAGCGACGACAATAATTATGATCCTCAATGTAATGTTTTGAATCCATAACTACAAATATATATTTATGTGTGTGTGTGTGTGTGTGAGCACCAAGTTTACAACTGTGAACTACATATTGTGCAGAGCGCTACATAAGTGTTTTATGTCAAATAATTTTAAGTTTGGTAATGCAATGATGAACCATATTGAGAAAACTATCGTATAAAAAATATTTGTCATCGTTACCTAAATGTGTCCTCTAAACATGATAATCTTAGAATACAGGGAAAATAAACCAGAAAATGGAAGACAGAGCAAGCTAAGAAAAGAGTATCATGTGAAAACGTTAAATTATGAAATCAAGGAGCACAAATGCATTCAGAAAATAATGACTAGAGAAAACATAAAGCAGTAAACGCAGAACAACAACTTAGGAAACTTTAAAATAAGGCCGTGAAATTTAGTTACCGCTTCCATCTTCCTCATTTCATAACGAGCATACTGGGCCACCAGATAAACAGCTGCTTCAGGAAATAAGTGCATTTAGGAAAATAATTAAGATACAACTAATGTCTCTAGCCGAACATAGAATTAATAGAGAGAGACAGTTAAAGGTACCGACCCAAAGACGGCATGCAAACAAAGAAGAGCTGAACCAGATGGAAATCAATCCTGAGCGTGAAAGAAAGTTGTTAAGTAATCATCGTAGCAAGAAGAAAAAATCAGCAGACATACATGGATTTTGAACAAACTTTTAATCGTAAAAGGACAAATCACACGAAGCTTATACTAATGGGTCATTTGATACAATTTTTATATAATTAAGCTTTGAAAACAATCAATATGATGCATTACTATTGAAGATTCAAATTTCACTACACCATTGAAATATACACTAGCATACAACGAAACCCGTTTGATTCAATCACATACTACAGACATGAACACAACGTGCTCGATAAAATGTCCCAAAGAACTTGAAGAACCAAAAGCTACTCGAACATTAGAACTGATCAAACAGCCATGTAAGACGAAGATAGAGAATAGAAAATGATACCCAAACTTCTTTTTCTTGGGAGGATCAGTGAAGAGGATCTTGGAGGCGGTCATGAAGTCCAAGTTATCCAGCTGCTTGTACGCCTCCTTGTAGCTGCTGAGATCCGACTCCACCTTGTTGCTGCCATTGATCTCGCCGTTGTTGCTGTTCTTGTTGGTCCCAATGCGGGATTTGGAGCAAAATGGACTGGTCTGGAATGGCTTCAATCGCTTTGAAAATCGGCTCAAACTGGCTCTGGCGCGAAACATTGCCCTCGATCAAGATGCCTGCGAGGGAAAGAACGACGAATATACAGGTCAGAGGTAACTAATTCTGATGGGCCGACGAGTCTTCATTTACCAGGCCCATTAATGTGTCAATGTTTGGGCCTCCAGCCCATCATTTTTTTCCCTTTGAGAAATTGGAATGGATTTCTACATTTAACCCTAATTCACCATTTCTCCTCAACTTCAATTCAAAATTTTTAGATTATATATAATTTATTTTTAAATAAAAACGCATGGTTTATCGATAAAGTTTAGATATAATATTTGGAGAATATATTATTTATAGAATATATTTTAGATATTATATTTTAATATTTTTTTCTTTATGATTTAATTTATAGTATATTTTATTTTATTCTCAACATTTAATTAATTTATATTTTCGGTAGCTATTAGTTGCTAGTTTGTATCATATTTAAAGCTTATATATCAACGAGAACAAATTTTCAATTCCTATTTTATTTCTCATTCTTAACATATATGTATCTACCCACAAAACAAAAACAAAATAATAATAATAATAATAATAATAATAAATCTTTCAGAATCAGTATCGCTTTTTTGATCTATAAGGAAATCGTCTCCCTCTTCCACTGTGTTATTTGAATTATAGGTCGAGAGTTTAATATTTTGTGAGGAAGAACACTTTTTATCGGCTCTTATTGCCATCGTTGTCACCGTCACCACCAAGCGTTCAAAGATTTTTTTTCAACAAGACTAAACTTCTGATTGAACGATAATATAATGTACTTTATCAAAACAAAATTTTATTTTTGGTCCATAAAGTTTAACTTAGATTAAATTTGAGTCCTCCACATTTCAAATTTTGATATCTTAGCTCTAAAAATTTGGGTTAATCTTATTTATTATTATTATTTTAATTTGACATGGCTTAAATATATTAATTTCGTATTTTTTTTTTAAGTTATTAACCACACACAAAAAAACATTATTTACTATTATTTACAAATTTAAATAGGAGATTATTCTAAAAATGTCGAGAATTAATTTAAATTTTATGAACTAAAAATATTAATTATTTTTTTTTAAACACGAACTATTTTATGATGTTTTGTTCTCAGTAACATACTTCTATTGAGATATGTAGCCTGATGCAATCTATATTTGGAAGATATTTTCTAAAAATCATATAGTTAGGAGAATATATTGTTGAAATATATTTCGCAAAGATCTGATAGAGATATATATGGTAGATATTTAGTAAAGACTTAATAGAGATATATTTGTTATATTAGATCGGTTTAAATATGTGAAAGCTACGTGTATTAAATTGAAACCATATATACCCCATTGCTCTTAAAATATATTTCTCTTCTTTCTCTTGTTGTACGTATTTGAAGTCATCAATACATAACTTTAGGCACGTGTATTTTCTCTCCCTTGTTCTTGTACAGCCAATTGAGTGTGTGGGTATTTTGGATAATTTAATTATTATTATTTTTTAAAAGGGATGAATTTCTCGATTCCCAAGCCCGCTTTAAAAGATTCCCGTTTCCCAATCCAGCTTTAAAAAACTATGAACTTTGTTAATAATCAAGAAAGTTATGATTACCCGTTAATTCTTTTTTCACTCTCAACACCTTTTTCCGCCCCTTTTTTGTTTATGTTTCCGATGTTAATTTTCTATTTGGTTCGAGGATATTTAGCAATGGAGTTGTTATTAATCGCAGTAAGCGAGTGGGAGTGAGATCGAAATGTGGTGCAGAAGAATCTCCTGCAATGGCGACTCTGGATCGGTGCCAGTGTACCTCAATGTGTACGACCTGACGCACATTAATGGCTACGCATATTGGCTCGGCCTCGGAGTTTATCATTCTGGTGTACAAGGTTCGTTCTAATTCGAGCTTTTCAATTCTTCTTCGTCTAATTCATCGGTTTATCTGCTGGAATTTGCTGTTAGATCTGCATTTTTTATGCTTAATCTGCTGGAATCCACTTTTGATGAGTTCTGTTTCTGTTTGGTTAGTGAGAAAATGGGGGGAAATTGATTGAACTTCTAGGTTTTTGCTTTCTGTTTACTTGTTTATTGTTCTTGTAAGTCGGATTTTACTCCTGTGAAAACTTTCCCGATGTTTTCTGGACCTGCATTTTGATGGATTCTGTTTGGATGGTGAGAAAATGATGGAAAATTAGACGAACTTCTAGGTTTTTACATTTAGTACTCTCGTTTGTTGTCTTCAAGTATAATTTGCTCTGTTTGTGACCTCCATTTTGACGGAATCTGTTTGGATGGTGAGAAAATGGAAGAAAATTGGACGAACATGGAGGATTTTACTTTTAGTTCACTTGTTGATTGTTCTTGAACTATAATTTACTTTTGGAGAATCTTTCCTGGTGTTTTCTGGACCTTCATTGTTGTGTTTGGCTGCTGAGAAAATGAAGGAAAATTGAATGAAGTCTGGTCTAGGAAAATCTATTCTGCCATTTTTTATCTGAAACTGAGAAATCTATGGGATTCTGATGCAGTTCATGGAATTGAATTTGCATTTGGGGCTCATGAGTATCCAAGTACAGGGATATTTGAAGGGGAACCGAAGCAATGTGATGGATTCAAGTTCAGAGAATCAATTTTGATTGGGAAAACAGATATGAGTGAAGCAGAAGTGAGGTCATTAATGGAGGAACTTGGTAAAGATTACAGAGGAAATGCATATAATCTCATCACCAAAAATTGCAACCATTTTTGCAACCATGTTTGCATCAAACTCACTGGAAATCCCATCCCAAATTGGGTCAATCGCCTCGCTAGAATTGGTAAATTTTGATCTAAATTTACTTTCCTTTTCTAGTTCTTGCTGCTACTGTTTCTCCTTGAATGCTGATGATGAGCTTGACTACTTTTGTTAATAGAAAATTATTTTGATCCTTTTTTTCTTAAACTAGTTTACAAAAAGTTGCTTGAAATATTCTCTACTCATTTAAGTGGTAGGTATAGAGTTTCATAACAAATTTAAGTGGTAGGTGGCTTGATATCATTTAGTTTTTTTTTTTTTTTTCATTCTTTCTTTTTGAAAATTTTGTTGGTTTGCTCAATGGTTTTCTGCGACCAAATTTCAAAAACAAGTTTACATTTTTTGGTATGAATTTTTGAAAATATTGATGATAAAACATAAAAAAATCAAACGACTATGAAGAAAATAAAATGATTAATGAAAATTAAACGAAAATGATCCTATATAGATGATGTGAGAACCCAGGTTAGTTGATGAAGGGAACGCATTTCTTATAAGGGTGCAGATCCTCTCCCTAATATATAGCATTTTAGAACCTTGAGGGGAAGCCTAGAAGTAGAAGCTCAAAGAGGACAATATCTGTTAGCGGTGGGCTTGGACCATTACAAATGGTATCAAAGCTAGACACCGGGGTGTGTGCCAACCCACATAGGTTGGAGAGGGGAACGAAACCTTTCTTATAATGGTGTGAAAACCTCTCCTTAAACGCGTTTTAAAACTTTGAGTGAAAGCTCAACGAAGACAACACTTACTAGTGGTAGGTTGAGCTATTATAAATTCGAATCTTCTAATATGTATGTGTCATGGATTGTGTTGAATGTTTGTGTTTGTGAAGAACTTCTGAGATGAGGGGTTTTGGAATGCAGGGTGGATATGCAACTGTGTTTTACCAGCAACCTTAAACTCCACGAAATTTGGACAAAACAGAGCGCAAAAGAAGAGAGGTGAAGAAAAACAAGAAGAAGAAGAAGAAGAGAAGAAGAAGAAGGAATTGGCAAGAAGAATCCAAACAGCTGAAATTTCAGCTTCTAATTCTTCATCTTCTTCAACTACTACTCTCCGCAGAGGAAGAAGCAGAACCAGACGTCCTCGTCTTCCAGCTTCACCATTGATACCCACTTCAAGTTCTTGAAGATTGTTATTTTACTAATTCCCCCTCTAAATTATATCTCTCTCTCTAAAAAAAAAAAAGGCATTCTTGGGGGGTATATCAGTGATTATGTAAATTGTGTATTATTAGGCAAAGTGGGCTGTTTTTTCTCTCTCTGCAATGTTTTTTCCCCACCATTAATGATTCCCATTTTCTTGGATTTTCTTGAGCTCCCATTGAAGTTCTTACAGGCTGGGTTTAATTTCCAGGTGAGATGTGGATTGGAATTCAAATTTTGATGAAATTGCTTAATGGGGCATATTCATTTTCTTAGTAGCAAATATGACCTCCGGAATGCTCTATAGAGTCGACATTTTTTTCCCATTTTGATCATTACTTTGATATTTGTTCTATATTTTATATCGATCATCTTATAATTTTACGGAGATTAAAATACAAATTTAGTATCTAAATTTTTAAATTTGTATCAATAGTTTATTGAAATTTCAATCTAGTGTCTAATATGCTTATGAATTCAAGGCGACTTAAAATTTAAAAATTATTCTTAAATACTAAAAAAATCATTCCAAACTGGCAGAAAATTTTATTAAATATCAAATTTACTACTATAATATAATAATAATTATTATATATATAAACCCTTTTGGAAAAGTGCCTTGAATCAAGTAAAATAGGGCTTAGTATTAGCCTTGGGATTTGGCTAAGAGTATTTTGAAAGGAAAGGGCAAAATGGCCTAAAAAAAGGTGGAAAGTTGTGTTGCGCCCATACTTTTGTGACATTGGTGCTTCCTACTTTGGCCCTTTTTTTAATGCTTTAGGCCATAAGATATGGTCAAAAAGTTTTAGCCTATCATACCATTCATTCACTTTCAAGCTATACGAATATAATCCATGTGATAAAGCCTTTTGCTTTCGTTCATTCAAAGGGTTTGGTTTAAATTGTTTTAAAGGATACACAAAAAGTCTGCAGAGTAGTCAGTCAATTGAATGGCTAACGTGATGATGAAGAATGGGAAGAAACTGTAGTAAATTAGCAGAAGAATAATCCATGAATGTTTGAAATGATAATTTTAACATAATGGGGATTACCATTGATTTCAAAGAAGTTGAGAGAGGAGGAATAATGAGTGAAAATCCTGCTGCTATGCAAATGTGTAATCGAAGATGAGCCTGCAGAAAGAGAAATGTTGGTAGCTATGGTTAGAAGCGAAGCCCCTTTGAAAGGATGAAATATATTGAATCTGAAGCGGTAAGAGAAATTGGATACTTGCTTCAATAACTATGGCGTATACATCAAATACATTGTATGATGAAGACATCAGGTTTTTAGCTCTGTTTTGCTTGTAACCATTCGACGAAATTGTCAAGGATCAACGGCCAAGCGAGTTCTGAATCGTAATTGCTCAGGTCGGGAAAACTTATCTGCACAATGATCAATATGTGTCACAGCTTGAATTGAGGACATCGATACCAAATGGAGATGATACAAACAAATCAATTGGAGGTGGATAGAGAAGTTACTCTTGCATAAATATTACACTTCTCCTTCAGACTGATTTTCAATACAAATGGGAATTATTGTATGAGTTAAAGTAGCAAGAAAAATTCTTGAAATTAGTTAACCCAATTGGAAAAGAAATGAATTCAGTTAATTCACAAACTTAAATATCTACATTGTTTTGCTGAATTCAAGGGATGAGAAGATCATTGAATTGGCAGTGACTCTCTAGTAAAATTCAGGGCAAATTTAGAGTAGATTCCAAAAACTATCTGCCTCTCAATTTTTCTTACTGTATTCCAGCAGTAGTGCGATAGATGCAAGCAAATATAATGAAATGTGTCATGTTCATGTGCTTTGGGAGAGAATGAAAGTACCTCATTGCAGAATCGAAAGAAGCCCATCCATTGATCCATGTTAATAACCTTATAGTCACTTTGTATCTGCATACATAATACGAGCAAATAAGAAATTTTTATTCTGCCTTCTTGATGAGGGGGAAGACAGTAAAAATGTGATTAATCGGTCAATAACCCAAACTGTTGAAACCCCTATGAAAGAAAATTTGTTACTCTACAACATGTCTTTCACAGAACCACCATTCTTGAATCATCAACCATTTCTGAAGGTTCTCCTCACGCAGATTAACTAGGTGGCTAGAGCTGGCTATCAGTAGTAATATGGTGAAGTCCATTTTATCATCCACTAGGTATGCTAGAGAGAGGCTATAACTCAAGAATGTACCTCTCTTAGACTAAGTGCATTGTATTAAATATCTAGAAGTCCTCTAAGGCAGTGCTGGAGTTAACTGCAGTGCCAAATAAACCATGCCTGTGGATAAATGTGGCACATTAAAAGCAAAAAAAAACATGACGTGGCACTCACCTTCAAGTATTCGATAAACGCATGGACTTGGGCATGAAACTCGGACCCTAAAACAAGATCCAGCAACTCGCATATACTCTCTATGTCAATACTCTTTTGCTTATCCTCTAAGAAAATATCAATGGAATAAAGATAACATAAAGATCAAATTACAATATAGAGTAGAAGAAAATGAACAGAACTTGAAGATTAAAAATACAAAACAAACCTGTTAAACAATACCGAAATGCATAAGAATAGAAGTCCACAAAGTTTGACAGCCTCCTTACCTTTTAAAAATGTGAGGAATCGATAATTAAAAACTTTATGCGCAATAATTAAGCAATGCGCTAACTTATGTACTAATTTATTTTGAAACTTTTAACAAGACAAGTATTGAACCTCTTTCTCAAGATCTGGTAGTGCCTTCTTTAGTTTACTAACAGTGTCTGCCCTCAGGGACTTGAGGCCTGTGCGCCATTCTTCCTAACAGATATGCAATAGGTTAAGGTTCCATCAAATGAATTTATAGATCTTGACAGAAAAAAATTTAAGTTGAAGCTGAGAATATAAATGACAGGGTTTTCCTTATAAGCCGGTGCTGAACACAGATAAAATCGATGTTTCTTTTTTAAAAAATAATATCAAATTCATTGAAGGTATGAAATTACAAAAGAAAGGGGAAGAACCCCGCTCCAAAGCAGTTACTAAAAACTCTCCACTTGAATAAAATAAAATATATCCTTCATAGATCACTATACTGATTAGAAAATGAATGAGAAAGGATTAAATGATGTGGAAGCATATTGCAGTAAATAAAAGGACAACAATACTATAAAGAAGATCTGCTGTATAATTTCTAATTTTGAAGGCCAACAGAAGAGTAAATATTCTTACCAGGGTAAAGTATCCTTGTTTTTCAGATTTCATTTTCCTGGTATGTGTAATCCATTAGTTTCTAGGCCATAAGGTCACACAAACAAAAAAAAGTTCAACTATCATATCAGTCGAGGTACAACTTACCACGCAAGCATCAAGATTCTTACATCAGTGGGATTCACTTCCATGTCTGAACAAAGACTTTCAATTCCTTCTGGACTGTTACAACAATAGTCAGTACAGCATATCATACGGATCTTATTCATACAAGTACTCAGAAGTCTCCTTGAAGATAAGGAGAAGAACATCCTTGATCATTAAAATAACATGGATGGGAAGTTTTGATGAAGAAAGATAACATTGTTCAAGCATAAGAAATCAACCACAAAAAAAAGAGTTTATGATTGGAATATTGCTATGCATTTAAACAGTATAATACTGAATAAACAAAAAATAAAATAAAAAGATAGGTACAAGGCAAAGCTAACTAGCAGAAAACGAGATATTTCAATGTACCAAAGTCGACTTACTCGATCAAACCAGAAGAGCCATTGGCATATGAGTAAAATAGGCTATCGATCCGTTCCAACTCTTTTGAGCTTGCTCGACTTGAAGCTGGATACATTGACAATCTTAAGTTCATAAGAATTGAAAAATTATCTTTTTTTGTTAATAAAAGTACGCCTTCAAATTTCTACTCGGACCATTTCAACGAATTTCTACAGCCAAGTTCCTACTTATTCTATTTGTCAAGATACTTTTCAGATATTGTAGATCACTGATTAATCATTCAGGCAAATTTAAAGTACAAAGTTGGGAGTCAACAACAACATAAATCCTTGGCCATGGTCAATGAATTTTACATTGAAATGTTTTATTTGATTAGATCAGAAAAGCAAAGATAAGAATCTAAAATCCGGCCAAGAAGAACATCTATTAGCATAGTGGAAGAAATCCAAAAAAAGATACTCACACATAAATCACCTCATAAGAACAAAAGAGTATACATCAACATGGGCATGATAATTATTACGATATAACTGAGAAAGCCACCTACCACATAGTTTCGCATAAGAATAGCCAGCAGACCACCATACAGAGTTCATTACTCAATTAAATTTGAAAAAAAAAATCTCAAGACAATGAATAAAAGTGGTTTGCATGTTCAGATTCTTTTTCTTTCAATTCCCAAGTATACAACTCCCACTTTCTAATGAAACCAACTCACTCCATGTCATCTCGGATTAGCTCTTACAGGTGCTCAGGTACATGCACAAAACAATCTGTAATATAAGCTTGAAATTCCCAAGTTTGATAGCCGCAACACAATTAGATAACTCCTAGAGCTATTCATCCCACTGAAGCCTCACTCTATTTAAAGACAAACTAAATCATCAACATAGCAAGATGCACACACAACATCCAGAACGTAAAAATCTCCTGAGACAAAGGCATCGTAGGAGTATAATCAATCAATCAAAGACAAAACCATGTCCATGACCAGAACACACAATGAACCAGAGTATATAACAACACGATGATCGATTTCCATGGCGAGAATTACAAGTAGAAGAATTAGAATTGTGGAAAAAACAAAGGATCAAATACCGGAACGAAAGAGATCGACGGCGGAAGAATTAACGGAAGCTGAATTGGGTTGACCGGTTTTCTTTGTAGCAGAGCGCCGCATCTTCTTCTTCTTGTTTGAGTGCAATTGGATTGGGAAGGAGAAGATAAGAAGAGAAAGCAAAGACGAAGATTGATTTTTGTCGCACCAAATTGGAGAACACAGAAACAACGACTAAGAACAAAACTTCGGCTTTCGTCTCTCTAATTTCCTTTTCTTTCATTTTTGTGGAATTAAATAAATATTAAAAAAAATACTTTTTAATAAAAAATAAATTAAAAATTAATAATAATATCATTAAATTTTCAAATATAAATAATATATATATATATATATATCATTAAATTTAAAAATAATAATAATAAATATATTTACCATTATTTGTTTTTTAAATCGTTAATATTTTGCTTAAAAAAGAATTTTAAAAATATATTTTTTAAAGTATTTTTAAAATAAAAAATTTAGAGAGTATTGATAAAATTGAATTTTGGGCCAGTAAGCTTGTTCTTTATATCGAGAATTTGATCTCAAACCAATTTATCTATAATCTTTAAAGTTGAACTCGAATCGATTCGAAGAATTTTAGTATTTGTGAATTTAAAGTTCACATACACAGATAGTTCTTAATTTCAATAAACTATGGCTTTCATATGGCTGGTTGATTGTCTGGAATCTGTCGTAGGCCAGTTGATCATTTTGGATGAACATCGACTTGTTGATTTGTTTGTATCAACTCCTAGCTTGTTGATCGACTTGAATAATCCTTTTAGCTTGTTGACTGGTTAGAATAAACCCCTTAACTTGTTGATCGTCTTGGATTGACCTTTGGACTGTTAATTAACTGACTTGTAGATCTATTTGTATTAATCATTGGCTCGTTAATTAGTTTGGATTAGCTTTCGATTTATTGATCCTCTTGATACATTGTGTGCTTCAAATGCCTGAGCTCATTTGGATTTTATTCAACGATATTAATAAGTTTGAATTAGTTAAGTTTGGCTCAACCCATTTTCAACTAGCTCGGACTAACTTAGTCTCGGGACCAAATGTCGTGGAGTATAATTTGATTGGACATCATTGAATTGATATAAATGTCATTAATTAATCTATTAAAATTTCACATCTTTTTATTTAATTTAAAGACAAGTGTAATCTTGTAATTGGTCAGATCTCGATGGGTTAATATACGTTTTTATCATTAATTTAAATTAATAATGTGACAATGTATTAATATACCTAACCCACCTTGAATCGACCCAGCATAGGATTTAATTTATATATTTATATTTGTATTGTAATATTAAAAGCAATAAATCTAAAAAAAACATAGGAAATTTCCCTCGAACAACTTTTGTTCTATGTCCGAACATAATCGCTAAGAGGCAGCTCCTTACTTCCCTCTTCAAGATCGATTATAATATATATATTTCTTAATTGGGTATAGAAATTTGAATTTTTAAAAATTATATTGATAAAATTTCATTTAATAGCTTTTAATTTAAGCAGGGTCAATTTTTAATAACTTATAATTTAAGGTCAATTTTTAATAGCTTCCAATTTAAGCGCTTTCGAAAGGAACAGTTATTATATTTTATATATATTTTTAAATTATTTTAAATGAATAATTTGTTTGATTGCAATTAATTTAAAAATATTTCTATCAATTATAAATATGTTTTTATTTATCATAATATATTTATCTCGGATATTCCGCATTATAAAATTATATATATATATATTTTTTATAATTCAGTTTTTCTTCAAATAGATAAAAGTTTTAAAATTGAAACTATCTATTTTGTTTTCATTAAATAAAATTCACAAATATATTTTAAATTATTAATTGTTTATATATAAAAAAAAAAAAAAATTCTATTTATAAGATTAATTTTCCATCTCTTTGAATTTTGTGTTAATAGCCATCGTTTTTTCTAAGCCCTATTTTGACGTTCAGCCATCTCGTTGCCAGCCACTTCACCCGCGCACGCTGCACTCTCAGCTGCCGCAGTCTCAGCTTTACGACGAAATCGCTGTCTCTCCGAGCAATCAGAGTTGCTTATCTCTGTTTTTTTCCCCTCGGAAACACGGTGAAGGTAATTCGCTCTCGAAATGTCTCTCTTTTGTTTAATTCTGTTAACGTAGAATGATGTCAGTATATTTCTTCAAATCTCTTGATGTTTCGCGTTGTGATACTTGCAGGTAGCTCCTAATGTCTGCATTTGCGAATCCTAACCCTAATAAATCCTTCGAGGTAAGTAAATATCGATGTGTGCAACGTGCGTAAGTTTTGGAACTCGATTTCATTTGTAAATCAGTTCGATGCCTAGTTTGGTATGGTTTAAACTTAATTGTTGTGTTTCTTTTTGAATGCCTGTTTTTAGGTTGCTCAGCCTCCGAGTGATTCTGTGTCGAGCCTTAGTTTTAGTCCAAAGGCCAATCACTTGGTTGCCACTTCATGGGATAATCAGGTCCTTTTCTTTTTCCTCTTCTTTTCAACTCTTTTTGTGCTTTTACTTCCTTATTTAACCGTTTTGTTTATTTTCTATCCAGATTAGGGTTTACTTTTATGCGAATAAGAAAGTTTTGCTTGCTATTTTTACTTTTCTTCGAGGTTTTCTATCCAAATTAGCTATGAGAATGTCAAATTGATGTATAGTCTTCGAGGTCTGCGAGTTTATTCTATAATTTCATAGTAATGGCTCTGCAGGTTCGTTGTTGGGAAATAATGCAAAATGCGGGTAATGTTGCCAGTACGCCCAAGGCTTCTATATCTCACGATCAACCGGTATATAACAATTTAGTTTTGATTTTGTGGTTTGATTAGAATTTTGTTGCTGTAAGATCCAAAACGTTGCTAAGTTATCGTGCACATTAGGTTTTATGCTCAGCGTGGAAGGACGATGGAACAACTGTGTTTTCTGGAGGCTGCGACAAACAAGTTAAAATGTGGCCCTTGTTGTCCGGTGGCCAAGCCATGACTGTAGCCATGCATGAAGCACCTGTCAAAGAAGTTGCGTGGATCCCTGAGATGAGCCTATTAGTCTCTGGAAGCTGGGACAAGACATTGAAGTAAGCACCAATCTGTTGATTCTTAATTATCTTTAAGTAATTAAAACATGCGTTCTGTGACATCCATATATTCTTTTTAATATGCGTAGCACAGTTTCGCTATTAGAGCTCAGTTCATTATTGTGGAACACGAAAAACATTCTAGGAGTCAGTTTCAAACAATTTGTCTCACTAGCCTGTTTTGATGTCGTTTCATTCATCTATGATGTGGGCATCGTGTTTGTTCAAACTAAGGCACGTGTAAGCAAGATATGTGGCTCTGGCCTCTGCCTTTCTATGGCATGAGTTGATGTAGTATTGCTCCTTAATTTTTTCCTCAAATGGTTTCACTGTTTTATGTTTCTTCCTAAGATTAATTATGAATATGAGTGTGTATTTTGTTTTAACATAAAATTACATGTTGAACCATTTCAATTAGTCAGGTTTAAATGAAAGATGTTGCTGAAAATAAGTGGGTTCATATCCACTAAGCACCTGACTCTCCGTCTCTCTCTCTCTCTCTCTCTCTCTGATATTCTAGAACTTGCATCACTGCAGTCCCTAGTTACTATGATGAAAAATAGCAAATGCGCCCTGCCAAGGTAGACAATTTACCCTTTTCTGGTCTACATGTTCACCCTTTGCCTTTTGTTTTTCTACCATGTGGAAGTGTAATTGTAGATTGTGGTAGATTACCTATGTTTTCTAGTTATGATGAAAAGATTTGATGGGGTTCTATAAATTCTCAGGTATTGGGATACAAGGCAGCCAAACCCAGTGCATACACAACAACTTCCTGATCGCTGTTATTCAATGACAGTGAGATATCCACTAATGGTAGTTGGTACTGCAGACAGAAATCTGATAGTGTTTAACTTGCAAAATCCTCAGGTATTGTTTTTTTTTCCTCTCATTTCTTCTACAATGTAATATATGAAGTTGTGTATAATATTCTTTAAATTTCAGTTTTTGACATCTGCGTGTGGGGTCTTTCTGTGACAGAATGAATTTAAGAGAATTGTTTCACCCTTGAAGTATCAAACAAGATGTGTAGCTGCCTTTCCTGATCAGCAAGGTTTTTTGGTAATGTTTCCATCCCTTATATTCCTTTGTTTAGATGTTACTTGCTGTCAAGTATAATTCTTATATTATGTCTTGATGATATATATATATACTTTTTTGATAAGAGACTGTCTTGATGATATTTTAGTTACTACTACTTCCAGAATAAGAATCTACTTCCAGATTCTTATTTCTTTACAGGTTGATCTTACTGTGAAATTGCTTAATTTGAGTTCATTAACCATTCCAGGTTGGTTCAATTGAGGGAAGGGTTGGTGTTCATCACCTTGATGAGTCTTTGGCGAATAAGAATTTCACTTTTAAGTGCCACAGGGATGGATCTGAGATATATTCTGTCAACTCCTTGAACTTTCATCCCGTAAGTTTGTATTAAATTATTTATTTTTTGAAGCATAAATAAATCCAAGAAACTTCAAAACTACACAAATTCCCAATTTTTTTCTTTCTAGAAGAACTTTGGAAAATCAGAGGGGAGAAGTCTTCTCCAGCTTTTGAGCACTGCACTCATTTGAATTTAAAATTCGTTAAATAAAGGCACATGTATTGAAGCCTATTGTATATGTCTTCGCCCTTCAGAAACCCACATTGAGGCTTTTCATTTTACACAATACATTTACTACCTCCTTCAAGATCAAATTCTGGAATTTTCTACCTCCTCCAATCAAGTCGAGTGCCATCAATTAGCTGCAAAAGCTTTCAAGCTTCCTTCCCTTCCTCATCTCAAACTTGTACTCCAGTGATGATCATCCACCATGGATAGCTGGCACCTCCTGATCTTTTAGTTCTAGTATACTTCCCAAAATCTTCTTTTCCATTAATTCTAACCATCACTTTGTGCCCTTGCTTATTTGGCTCTCTGGAAATCTCTACACCGTTTGGATTCTTATTTTTTAAGCTCCTGACTCCTTAACTGTCACTACACACAAGCTTAGCAATCATGTTCCAACCAACTAATTAATTGACCTCTTCTCTTCATTTCCACTCCAAAGAAATACACCCAATCCATATTGGCATTTGGAAAATCGAATTGTAGTACTCAGGGAGGTTAGAAGGTACTGCATTACGTAATAATATCCTTCCACCCTAGACGAGCAAATTTTTTTTTTCATCTGTCAATTTTTCCTTGTGGTTTTTCCATAGTAGGAAGTTGGACCTCCGTTTTTATTTAATTTACCCCCAAAGACATAAGAAAAAGGAAGGCATTCTCACCTAGGATAGTGTACTGTTGTTGGCTATTTTTTAAGATGACAAGGATTTTTTCTGATTGGTGCGCTCATAAGTGATTATCTGCTACCAATTCGCCATAATTTGCAGCATCTTGATTAATGGTTCTTTAAATCTTGCTATTTATTGACCGGAACTTTCTTTCAGGTGCATCACACTTTTGCAACTGCAGGGTCAGATGGTGCCTTTAATTTCTGGGACAAGGATAGCAAACAGAGGCTGAAGGTGCATTCAATATATTTATTATACTTACAGCTACATAATCCTCTTTTGTCAGTCTTCTTCCATCTGTATAAAATAGCTTATGGTTGCATCGGAACTACGTTTAGAAAACTTGTTAGGTGGGAATAATGCTCAAAAACAAGTTGCTAACAAGTTTTTGGCTCAATTAATATTTTCATAATTTAACTTCATTTCCAGTTGTTAGCTTTACGAACAATCAGTATATTCATTTTTGAGAAGATTAAATTGAGTAAAAAACTAACGAGAAACTTAATATTCACCTATGTACTTGAATTAAATGAACCTGTGCAATACCTCCAACATCTAAATATTTTTTTGGGAGATAGTGCAGGTGTAGAGATCTATAATAACTTGAGAGCAGGGAAAAGGGAAAAAAAAAAAAAACTGCAAGAACATGTCTGCATACAACTTGTTCTAGTTTTACAATTAGTTCCTTCTATAGCAAATTATCTGTTCTGTTCTATTAATCAACACAGAACTCTTAAGTGTATGGCTTTTATGTGTCAGGTCACTACCTTTTCCTTCAATTTATTAACATCTAGAAAATATTTAGAGTATTCTTCTTAATGAATGAATGGTGAATGGTTATCTTTTTTGCTTTCAGGCTATGTTACGATGCAGTCAGCCCATAAGTAGTAGCACTTTCAACCAGGATGGGTCGATATTTGCATATTCAGTACGTATCACCTTAATTATTAATCTTTTAATTTTTTATCACTTGCTGATGCTTGCTTCTTTAAGTTGCACCACCTTCCCTCAAATGTTACGTGAGCACCTATCATAATCCATTATTTCCAACAACTATAGCAACGTGCATTTCATTTGAGGTATATCATAGTTTCGTTGCAAATAGACTTAATGGATTGAGTGTTCAGAAAATAGTAGATAAGCATTCCAAATAGCTCGGAAGTGGGGCCCAAGGGAGGGCTCTTGAATTTCTTATTATCCTTGAAGCCTTTTCTTTATTCCTACAATGTTTCTCTTTAAACTATAATGTTTCAACCAGTTCTAATTGAAAAGCTTTCAGACCCCAATATGTGCAAGTTGTATTAACGTTATACGCATGATATGGTACCCGTACTCCTTGAGACTGAAATCTCTTTCTAGCAAACAGCGGGAATACTTCTGTTCATAGTTTTAAAGAACGCTAGAAAGATATTATTTGACGTGAGCTGAACTCGACATGTGGGATTTCTATAGGTGTGCTATGATTGGAGTAAAGGGGCAGAAAATCACAACCCAGCAACAGCAAAGACTTGCATTTACTTGCACCTTCCACAGGTACTTGGTGTACATAATCTTTTTATTACCTTTTTTTCTCTGTTCTTATTTGGAATATCGTTGAAAACTGACTGAGAAATTTGCCTTTTGGTTGTAGGAGTCCGAGGTTAAAGGCAAGCCTCGGGTTGGGGGCAGCGGAAGAAAGTAGTCACTGTAAAATCGATTACATTTCCCCCCTTCGAATGTATCTTTATTCTTTAATGTCAAATTACTAATAGGTTAAACTAGGTTTGCAAAAATCTTGAATATATTTCTAGTTTAGAACGTCATGTATGGCTTTTTGTATGATTGGAAATACTGAATTTTCAAATACATAAGAGATCTACTGCCGTTGTTTTCCTTCGGCTAAGAAACTGTAATTTTTACCAAGTTGATAACCAGTGGTGATGTTTTTAGCGAGGTTGAACAGTTTTGTTTTAATTTGAAGCACATTGCAGAATTTTGATGACCCAATTGGTTTGATTGATAGGATTTTTATAATATTTCTGAAGCCAAGTTTAGAGTGGTTCGTTTTAATCCTTCAAAATCGTAAGTTTTTACTCGATCAAACTTAATCCTTTCAACCTATACCCAAAATAACTTGTTCTTGTAATATCTCAACCTATACCCAAAATAACTTGTTCTTGTAATATCAATCATGGTCTTTTACATGATAGCGCCCAATAAATATTTCAAATGCTTAAGAGATATATCAAATATACAAATGAAGATCAGAGAATTATCCAACGTTTTAAAAATTTTGTAGTTCTTTGAGTTACGAAATGAAGATCAGAGAATTATCCAACGTTTTAAAAATTTTGTAGTTCTTTGAGTTACGAAATTGAATAATTAAATAGGAACGAGTAATTTGGTAAGACTTTTTGGATTGAGTTCATGACCCTAGAATTTGAATTGTTTCGAACAAACTGGTTCAAATGAAAGTTTTTAAACGGATATTTTTATAGTTTAACCTAATTATTATAAGAAAGCTATCCTTTGACTCTACCGTTTGATATTTAATTTTGTTTTTTTTTCTTTTTCCGTTGATTAATTAATTGTATGTAAATAATAAGCCGTTAAACGCTCCTTTCTGTTGATGCATTAGAAAAGGGGGAAAACAGAGAGTTACAAAAACCTATCCCCCAAACAAATCAAATTCTTTCATTCCCTTTCTTCTTCTTCTTCTCCTTCCTTTCCTAACCTCTTTGCTTTCCCTTTCTGTTCGTCTTCTCCGATTTCAATTCCTGTGTTGCTCCGGCGACGAAGGTGGTCTTAGGCATTAGTTTCTGCAACCGACTACCCGGAGACGATGTCTGCTGTGGTGTGCGGAACCAAGAGATCCTTCTTTGAAGAAATCCCCCCTTCGCCTCCCATTTCCAAGCGCCTCCGCTGCTCCTCTTCTACTTCTCCCATTACTTTCCCTGCGCCCTCCTCTCTTATTGACCACCTCCACCATTTGTTTCCCCACATGGACCATCAGGTTTCTTCTTACTTCCCTTTTTTCTTTCACTCCGATTTTAATTCCTGTTTTTTACTCCCTGCTTCTGTGTAATCTCATATTTCTTGATGCCATTATAGCCTGAATCTTGATAGCCTTGGGGGACTCTTGTTATTCTCTTCTTGTATATATTGCTTAAATATGCCTCTGGATTGTGCAATATCAACTAATTCGACTTACTTGCGGCATGGAATTTTAGTCGTTCTATTCAGTTTTATTTTGCAATGCAGTGCATCTCTTTCGGTGACTTGTTTCATAACTGCTGCCTGTATGTTATAATTAATACTATCTCCCAAGGTTTTCTTGATCGTAATTTGATTTTTCCTTCCCAGCTTCTCGTGAGAGCCCTTGAAGAATGTGGCAACGACTTGGATGCTGCCATCAAAAGTTTGAGTGACCTGTGTTTGGGGTCTGCTGTTGAGAATCCTGTTGCTACTGCAGAACCAGAGCCAAATTTGGATCAAGGTATCACAAAATGCTAAGTAATAAAGGAGATGCTTCATATGTAGCTTCTTTGTTTCTATTCGTTTTAATTATATTATGATGATGAATTCATCACATTCAAATTAAATTCCTGTTCAAGAATTTGATGCATGCTTATTTCATGGAAGTGATCCAATGGCCCCCCCTAACTTACTGTCACTAGTTTGGAATCCTCCTTGCCTTGTGCAGATTAGAGGAGGGTTTAGGTTTTGATCAAGATTTGAAAAACAAGAAACGGAGTTCGCATTCAGATTACTATGCATCCATTCTCTTAGAATAAGAGACTCAATGGTTTGCTACCTTAGTTCTGAATTGCTGGAGATTAAGCTGCATGAGGAACGATAATCTTCCTTAATTCATTTGTGGTTGATGCTTGTGTTGCCCCTTGATCGTTTTATAATGTGTTTTTTTTTTTTTTTTTTCTAGTCTTGACATTTATTTCCATGCCTCTCAGCGCTGTCCATTGTTAAAACGATATTAATGTTGGACTTATCGTACATGTTTCTGCAGAAAGCACTTCAGTTAACCTTTTGTAATCCTTGAAATTTTATCTTATTACTTCTCTATAAAGATCAATAATTCAGTGCATGCTTAAAAATTCTCAGGTTCATTTGCTAATGATGGAGAGGCTGCTGCTTCTGAGAATTGTTCAGTACCGAGCAGTGTTTCTCTCGATGGTAGAAAATGGATTGACTTGTTTGTTGTGGAAATGGTGAGCGCTATCGACGTAGCTGATGCCAGGAGTCGTGCAGCAAGAGCATTGGAGGCTTTAGAGAACTCAATTAGTGCAAGTGCTGGTGTTGATGCTGCACAAAATTTCCACAAGGTATTAAAGTTTTAATGGCCACTACAAATAATTTTCCACATCCTTGGGTTACAATTTTGGGATACTGGTAGGGTTTTTGGAGCATTAGAATGCAGTTAGAATTGGTTTGGGGTTATTTGCTTGTTAAACATGCTATTTGCTTGTAAACTTATGTTCTTTTCACTGTCACCCAGGAAAATATGCAACTGAAGGAACAAATTGAAGTACTTCTACGAGAAAATACGATTCTTAAGCGGGCGGTCGCCATTCAGCATGAACGTCAGAAGGAATTTGAGGGTAAGAATATAGAGTTGCAGCATCTCAAACAGTTGGTATGTCAATATCAGGAGCAGCTCAGAACCCTAGAGGTGAGAATAAATGTACAACTTTTCTAAGTTTCTTGCCAATTATCAACTGTCCCGGTTTAAGTTCTTAAACATGTTTGTGTCGATGCAACTTTTTCTGACCAGTTGAAAAAAAAAATCCTGTTGGTTTTGTTATACAGATAAACAATTATGCTTTGACAATGCATTTGAAGCAGACTGAACAAAGCAGCTCGATTCCGGGACGCTTCCATCCTGATGTGTTCTAGCAAAGAGAAATTTAATTGATCTAAATTATTGGTTGCAGAAAGAAACTAGTTGAGCATGAGTCCGAGAAGGAAAGGGAGAGCAGGGAGGAATGGAGCATATTCATTAGCATGTCAGTTTCCTATGAATAGAGGTACTGCTAATCAGTTTGTTTTTTTAGTTTGAGTTTGGTCATACCATCCCTGGATTGGTGACTGTCATACCATCAACTATTGTTTCCCCCATAGATTTCAATAAAAGTCCTTGTTTAGCTCAATGATTACATCGTTTTCATCACGATCACGATCTGGGAGATGAAATTATCGTCATTTTGATTATAACCCATTTTCAGAGAGATTTCATGGTTTTCATCACGATCTGGATAACAAAACAATTCAATTTCCAGTGTTTTTAACAAGCAATTCCTTGTAAAAAACGAAAGGAGTAGTTGATTGTTGTTAGCTTTGTCTGTCTTGACGACTTTGGTTGATCAAAAGCCATATGGCTACAACCACAGGAGTTGATACCATAATAAGAGCTTGTACAATATTGGGTTTGGTCATCTCCGGAAAGATTATGCTTCCATACTTTATTCCACCGCCCACTGCTATGGAACCTGCTGCCATTTTCAACACAAACTGCACATCCTCCTGCATCATAGTACACAGTAAGTGAATAAATTGTTGCTATATATCCTCATATCATCCTCTTTTAGATCTTACCCCATAATTATTGATTATACTCATTCCGAATTTACTGAACTATGATGATGATCTTGAAAGGAAATTGTCTAAAAATGAATTGGATACATATTAGAGTTGAGAATGCATGGATAAATGTGAGATCTCACATCGGTTGGGAAGGAGAACGAAACACCCTTTATAAAGGGTGTGGAAACCTCTCCCTAACAGATGTTTTAAAAACCTTTGAGGGTAGGTCTGAAAGGAAAAGCCAAAGTAGGACAATATTTGTTAGCGGTGGGCTTGGACCGTTACAAATGGTATTAGAGCCAGACACGGGGTGATGTGCCGGTGAGGAGGTTAAGCCTCAAAAGGGGGTGAACACAAGGCGATGTGTTAGCGAGGAAGCTGAGCCTCGAAGACAGTGGACATGAGGTGATGTGCAAGCAATGACACTGGATCTTGAAGGGAGTGGATTTGGGGGTCTCATATCGATTGGAGAAGAGAACGAGTGCCAACGAGGACGCTAGGACTTGAAAGGGGGTGGATTGTGAGATCCCACGTCGGCTGGGGAAGAGAATGAAACATCGAGGACAGTATCTGCTAGCAGTGAGCTTGTGCCGTTACAATAAATGATCCCACATCGGTGGGGGAGGAGAACGAAACATCGAGAATTCTGCTAGTAGTGGGCTTGTACCGTTACAATAAATCATCGTGAACATGAAATCCATTCTTTTTCCAGGTTTGATTATCGAAAGACGAGAGGAACGCATACTCGACCTAACAAGAACCTGATGCAGCTGGTATACTCAATTCCAGATTTCCTCGTCAAATACAGTAAAAGTGGTCAATTATAGAATTCTATCGATTTCTCCCGCATTCAGCCTAGATTATTCAGCTAATTAGCCCTAGAATTATCAAGTGGTATCAGAAATATGCAAAGCGTATTAACTTGAAGACACAATTAGAAAGAAACACACACCTGACTGATGCCGGTGTCGTCGTCGCCGCCGCTCGAATTCCCTTCTTGTCCAAGTGCTCGAATGGCAGGAACTTTCGGCCGCGTATTGAGAAAGCAATTTGGATAGCGAACTGTGAGCCTCGTGAAGTTCGTCGGCGGCTTCTTTTCAGATTTGACCGGAGCCGGAACGCCGATCTTCCAAGCTCCGGTTGCTGCCGCCGTCGCTGCCATTTTCTCTCTTATCCTCTTCTCTTTTAACGCCCACCGCAAAATTATCTTTGCTCCTTCACTCTGCGCCCGTAGTTGTTGGCCACGTCCGCAAAGTTCTGTTTGGTTCGTTCTTTTTCCATTTAATCAGATATTTAATTTTAATGGAAAAAAAAAATCATTTTTTTATCCATTTTGCAGCCTTATTTCAATT